TTACTCTGAAGCGTACCTTATAGCGAGTTTGTTTCACAGCACTCGTGCCCACGCGTGCCCACTCGCAGCATGGAGCGGGTTCGTTTCAGCCGGCACTCCACGAGTGATTGCACTCTCCGAGTTTGCTTCAGCGCTGGCACCCCACGCGTGCATGCACTCGCTGCACCGAGAAAATCGGGAGTGTGCCAAAATGCAATCCCGTCATGCCTCGCTCCAGCAAGGAGCAGGAGCAGACAACGAGGGTTTGTCTGCTACGATGTGTCGCTGAACCAAAAGAAAAAAAAGTAGATTTTCTGATAGGAATCGCGTCCCACGGGCCACGTAATTGTGAGCGTCTGCTATGTTATGAAGGAAGCAATTGACAAATCGTGCTTTATTTTCAGGTTTTAAGTCGCTCTGTTGCTGTACAGATGCTGAAATATACCAGTGTGTAAAGTAATGCTCAGAAGAAACGGATCAGCGGCCCCCGAGATGTTTATCACCATGTGTGTGCGGGTGAAAGATTGAACATTTGTCGACAAAACTCCTCCAGCGGAAACCTGTGACTGCCCAATAAGCATCAGAGAAAGCTAAACATAGTGACTTTACCCGAGGCTTGGGCAACATCATCATGTTTAACATTTACCTATGTCAACTAACTTGCCCCATCCTATTTTGTTCGAGAAAGCTCTCGTTCTCGACGCCCTCACCAAGGCTAATATTATCTGATCCACCTGTAATGACCAGCTGTTTTGTAAACAGCTGGTTGCGGAAATTTACGCCATCTGTAAATATCGCTACAACAGCCGAGTTGCTTGAAGTCATCGCAAATAAGAACTAGAGGTTGCAGCGACCAACGTTTGTAGATAAACGTTGGTAGCAACTGCCACTCTCGCATTCCCACCCATTACTCCGAATAGAAAGGCACTAGTTTCAGTTTGAGGTTGGTACCTTTTCTACAACATAGATGGCGGCAGCATCTGTTTTCTGCTAAAGTCCCTCTATACTGGAAAAGTAGCGACAACCTTTGATCACGCCGCCGAGCTCAGCGGTAGGCCGGTGTGTGGCACGTGACCTTCTCCTAGCGCTCCGCCCCTTTGGCAGCCATGAAGGATCCAGCCAGCAAATTCTCCCGTGTCTCGTGTGTCCCGTCGCCAGCTGCGCCGCAAGCTACGCCGGACTCGCGTTGCGTCGGACAGATCCGGACTTGCTTAGACGTTCGGGCCAGTTTTGCTGTTGTCGTTGGTCGTGTAGCTTTTAGTTTCTTTTTGTAGCTGGACGTCCGTTTCGCATTTTGCCACGGATTGCGTTGTCGGACGGCCGGGGAAGGACGGGAGGCACTCACTTGATCGAATGACGTTTTAGCGAACGTCCACGTTTCACCGAATGACACTTTAGTGAATAGTCGGACGCCGCGAAGCGGCGTTTTCGGGTGGGCCAAATGGGTTCACATTTTTGTAATGAGTTGCCGTATATATTAGTGTTGTATACATAAATTTCAGATGAGGCTTTTTTCTAATAATACTTCTGTGTACTGTCTTTTTGTTAAAACTGGCTAGTGTGAGACCTTCTTTATAATTTTATGTTTTGCCTGTTAGATTTCTGTAGTGGCTCCTTCTAATAATTTTTCATCTATTGTCTTTGTTGTAAAAAGTATATCTGAGCATGTGTATAAGTGCTTCCATTCACTGCTGACTTGGCTATGGTAGTCTGTGGTAATTTGAAAATAAATATATGCCACATATTTTAATCTTGAGTCAGTTGCCTTTTCTCTGCAATTTTTTTTCCCCATTCTGGTAATGACCAAAACCAAAGTTGGATATTTTTACTTTTAGTAAATATAAAAAGGAGGCAAAACTTGTAAACTGTGATGCTATGTCATCATATGAATAATCTGTCACGATCTTTTTTTTTTTTTTTTTACGTAGCTTGTGCAGATTATGTTTATTTCTGGCAAATAACTGCAAAATTCATTAAACTTAAAAAAATTGCTTGAAGTTACGGTATAATCGAAGGAACACTAGTTTCCAACGGTATTGCAGTAGTATGGCCAGCCGACACCGCCGATTCGTAAGTACAGAAGGGCTTTACAGATGGAATACAGTAGCACTGCATCAACGTCAACCGTACCCCCCTCCCCCCAACCCCCCTCAAAAAAAAAAAAAGGGAAACGAATATGAAAAGCGACGAGTGACAAACTAGCCCTGCTATACATGCAGTCACCCGAATTTCGTAAGGCCCCGGTCGAAACCAGATCGACAGTAATGATCGCAATAGTCCAGCGTCCTTTGTAGCTCATGCATGTTTATCTACGGTACGATTGCTATAGCGTTTCAAGCTCTTTTTAGCGCGGAGGCAGCAGCAATCGCAATTCGCGCTTGTAGTCGTTAAGCTCGTGGAAGACTGCAAGATCTAGAAATTTTCACGATTATGTGGGGCCGAATATTATGAAGGCATTCTTACGTATTTAATCACTGACAATGACGGTGCTTACAACAATCGTGAGAACCATATCGTTGCATTGTTACTCGTGGAAATAAAGCTGTGTTCTATTTTCTATGTACTCAGTTCTGTGAGCTTTATCCGAAGGTTGAAAACGTTGCCGTCACGTTTAACTCAATCTTTCTTCGTGTTTAACACTTGCTTGGCACTATGCAATGTAAGAATGCATCAGAAACCTGCACTTTCAAATACGCAACGCGAAAGATTGTGCGCTCTGAATGCGCAGAGAGGACACTGCCGTTGTCTGCTAGTTCTCCTTCTTGGTACCCCCTAGACGGCGCGCGCGGTGCCAAAGGGAGAGAAAGAGAGAAACGTAAAGGGTGAGGAGGAGAGAGGGCGCTACCTTTCCAGTATAGAGGGACCTTATCTTCTGCACTCGGTGCATTTGGCATGTTCGTTTGAGTCCAGTTCTCCGTGCAACACTCTGCGAGTGCGATGCATTCTGGGAGAGAACTCGAACGGTGCCGGTGCGTGTGAAACGAACCCGCTATTATTTAGTGGCACAAATCTAGCCAGCTGTGTTGTTTTCTTTTAAACCAAATGTTTCTTGTTTGTTTGTTTTTTGGAGGTAAAAATTACGGATTTTGCGTACCCACGCGGACGGCGTGAGCTGACACCCTTGATCTGGACTTTTTCTGCATTTTCGGTTTCCGCAAGCTCTAATGTTTCTCAATTTGTCAAATAGTTCAAGGTATGGGACCTCAACGTCGCATTCCATTTCTAAGCACTTTGAACCACAGGCCCACACACGTACACGTCGCTTCGCGGCGGTCATGCCAGCGGCCCAAGCCCCGCTTGCGGAGGCGGCTCCGCAATATTTAGTACAGACACTTTAGCTCATGTCAACGCTAGCTTATGTAGCCCGCGGTAGTACGTGGAAATAGTTTGCGGTGCCAAGATCATCGAAGAAGGGCTAGCACCTTTTTCTGATTTCGTGCGACATGACAGTCAGAGTGATTTCGTGCGACATGACAGCCAGAGTGACATCCTGCACACTTCTCACGAAGATTCGCGTACGTACCGCCTTCTTCGTACGCTTGGCACTCCGGAGGTCAGATCCGCCAGCGGCCCGTTTGTTGTCCTCCAAACCTCCCATCGCTGACCTCACTTCGACGCGCTGCTGCTGCTTTCTTAGAAGGCTCACGTCAAGATTTTGTCCGGGGATCAAAACAACATACACAGGACAGAACACATAGAGTTATTATAATGTACGCTAGAGGTTCAACTGGCGCTAGTGTCTATGCGACTTCCGGGAGGCAAATTGAAGCAGACAGCAACCAGTCTACTTTTGCGGTGCTCCTGTGCATTCCTATGGGAAAACGCGCGTGCATTTTGTCTCTTCGCCGTAAAATAACATGAATAACTTTTATTATTTCGGTTGTACCGGATAGTATGTACATCTATTAATATTGTAAAAGTGTAATCGCTTTAATTACAGCATTTTTCATTATCACTGAGCGATGTTAAGCTTCGCTATATTTCAGGCCCAAACCTATGTTCCATATGGCAGGTATGTAAAGACAAGCGACGATTCTAAGCAAACTAACGATCGAAAAGAATGTAGAGTGTGTTCAAGGTTCGCTAGCAAATATGCCCGTCCGGTCACTCTTTGAAAATGACTCCGTCGTGCATCTTTACGACGGTTAAAACACATAAAACATTCGAATGTAAGAAATAAAGTACGTGGACTGCGAAAGGTGTGCCTTTTTATTATCTCCTATGCCGGGCAGTTTTTATCGGGCACCTGTTTTCCGACTTTTCCATATTTGCAAATATTTAGAGCGTGCGGTTGATGATTTGAACCCAAAACATGCATCTTTGCACATATTCGTGAGCAGAAAGAATAAAGCAGTACTTATTTATTGCAAATCGGACTATATTACGTGGCTTCCAATTTATTTTGATCGCCTGCATGCACAACGAGTTACTTATTCAGTGTTACTGCGTAGTTCTTGCCGTCTCTCTTGGTTTTCCACATGTCCTTCGTTCGTTTGACACGTATATCCCGCATGGTGGAAAGCGCCGACGCCGTGTTCGCGCTAACAGTGTCCGACAGTGCACATAAATACATGTACGAAGCGGTTTTAGCACCGTTTTTCATGCCACGAATTTCACATAAAAACGCCGTAACTGACCAATTATTTCATCTGCGTGACTGAGAAATGTTCCAATGTGCCAGTACGTACGGAATATTCGTGATATTTGCTCTTATAATCGAGCACAGCGAGAAAATGCACTCGCTTTTTCCCATAGAAAAGCATTACCGGAAGTCAATTTCAGACTGGTTGCTGTCTGCTTCAATTTGCAGCAGCACACTAGCGCCAGTTGAACCTCTAGCGTACATTATAATAACTCTATGACAGAACAACGGAATCACAAGACGTCTCCGCTGGCTTTCTGTTTCTCTTTGGTTACTACTTCAACGTCCTCCATTAAAAATAATTATTTTCACGTCCGCGACGTCCGTGACGTCACTTGTGCACTACGATAGATGGATGCAATGCGTGGTAATGATCGGACGGTAGCTTGCGCTGCCTAGTGTAGAAACATTTGAATTGTCCGGATTTGTTTTCCGGTGGCTTCGTAACATCCGATCGTACGGTTCATTCATCTCTATATTTTTGACGTTTTCCTTTTCAAAGACCACGCAAGATGATTAAAGTGCCCCCTTTTATCTTGCTTTCATTGGCACCTACCAAATGTATATGGCGACGTGCTGTCGTGCTTGACTTGGATTGGATTGGCGCGTTCCACAGCGCTTTCGGTTCGTGTTTCTGCTTCTCTGCTGTTTCCCTCCCGCAGCACGCGCCAACGTTGCACGCGCTGCAAGAAACATGATTTATTTTGTGTACTTCATTTACGTATTCTAAAAACGTTGTTCGAAGTAAACTTCCCAATTCCAAGCATCCATACAGTTCTGGACTGGCTACGGGCTACCTTGGACGACTTTCTGCCCGTCCTTGTCCTTCAAGCATCACATGACGAAGCAGTTTTCCTTTCGATATGCCCTGTCTAGCCCTGCCCTCAGAGTGATAAAGGCGATCGTCCGGTCGCACATTGGGCCAGACGCTATGCCAGCTGCACAGTAGCCCTACTTCGTTCCTACATTCCTGCTCCTCGTTTCTGTGGCACCCACCCACTTCCCACGGAAGGCACTCGTATGCACCTCTTTTAGTAGGCCTTCACTGGTGTTCGCCACCACCCTTTTGTTTGTTCCGTGATTGCTAAATTAAAGTGGAGAAGCGCCATGGACCGCAAGCCAGAAATGTCTTTGGTGGCACAGTACGATGACCTGTTCCGCTTGGTACAAGAATCCGTCCGAGGAAGCGACATTACTTTGGGTGAGCAACGCATTTCGTATGCGTGTCCGCGTGTGCGTCTTGCAGATATCGATGGCAGCTAAGATTATTTCCATTTTCTTGTGTTACAGAGTTCTTAAATTTTGTCAAAAACCAGGAGTTCTGCAGGCAGCGGTGGCATGCAGCAGAACTGAGGGTTAAAAAACTGGAGGACGAAAACAAGGAGCTGGCTTTGACCAAAGCTCACTTGGAAGCAAAGCTGCTGCATCTAAGGTGAACAGTAACAGTAGTCTATTTGACAACTTTTCTTGACTTGAAACGTTTTCTCACAGTTTTTCGATCTTCTTTTCTTTAGAGGGACTCTTGAACACGAAGTTTCAAGGAGGGAACGATGCGAGCAAAAGTTATCTATGCAGGTACCAGAACGGTTAAGTTTAAATGACTATTTCATTTCTAGCTGTTTATATTTATGATTTTTTTTTTTTGAGAGAGAGGAGAGAGGGGGAAAGCTAACAGTTTTTTTTTCTCCACTTTAACTCGAGGAAATAAAACTAAAAGGATTAGGCTCCTTTAAAAAAGAAAACTAAATATATTTTTTTCGATTTCAGCAACACAGGTTCAACCTCATTCGCCAGTGTGTCTTGAACACAGATGACCAACGCGTGGGCCAAGCTAAGACAGTCAAGTCAAGCCTTCATGACTTGATTAATCTGGATGAAGACGCTCCCGTCTGGTAGACATTTTTGTGACTTAATTTAATACTGTGTGCCACAGCTTCCAGCGAATTGGCGGCTCACTGTTTCCTCTAGCTTTTTAGCTATACGACAGGAGCTACCACATAGGCACGTGCATATCTTCTGGTCACAGTCCCCTTAGCAGAATCCACAAACAAGGAATTTTAATTAGGGGTGTCGCGAGCCGGTTGAGGTTCGAGTTCGACAAAGGTTCGACTCTGGTTCGACTGCTATGCGCATGCGCGACAGGCGGGCCAGTTGGCATCTGATTGGATGGTGATGGCTAAGGGATGAATTAAGGGCAGCACTGATTGGTTATTTCAGTTAATACAGTATAAAAAATTAAGTAATTTTAGAATTAGCTTCTTTTAATTGCTACTGTTCAGAAAATTAAAATAACCCTTTGCATAAAGAAAAATTGTCCAAACCTAGACATGCTTGTATCAAGGTCTCGCCACACTGTCTACAAAGTCGAGCCGGTCGAATCTGATCAAAAGTTCGAAGGTTTTCGAACCAGTTCGAAGCAGTCGAACCCCAAAAGTTCGACCTCAAAATCCGGTTCAACAAAAGTTTGCGACTCCCCTAATTTTAATCAGTTTTAGTCCATGACCCGATCCTGCTGTTCACATATTGATGCATGTAAGTGCTACATTTGAATGTATGTAGCCTCGCTCACTGCATGCCATACTGTATGTCCCTCTCCCCTGATTTAAAGACTGGCCACCAAGCAATAATGCAGAGACTTCAGAATTTTTAAGAGTAACCATAAAAGATCAACAGCATTTTTTAGAGCGCAGCTTAGGTGGCCATTTCCGGGTTGAGCGGCATCGCCGTTGGCGTAACCACGCATTGCATAATGGGACGTTTTCCATGACTCCATGTGTAACGTCGCATAAGTCACGTGCGACGTCACCCCCCGTGCGACGTCACCCTCGTGACGTCGCACGGGTGTATTCTCCCCTCCTCCTCCTCAGGAGCTGCACTCTAATTCGGCATTACAGAGAATTGTAAACATCTGTAATTTCTTTTTCTTGGAAAACAATATTTATCGCAGAGAGACAGAAAGGATTAGTGTATAGCCCCTTTGTTTCAGTTGCAGCTAGAAGTTCACCTTGCACATTTATTTTAATTTTTCACGCACTTCAAAACTCCCCCCCCCCCCTCCCCTTTTTGTGTGGCCATACATGTTGCCAGGGGCCACAACACGACGGACAAATCCGTTGGATCTGTGCTGTCGCCCTCTGGATCGGAATTCGATGACACCACTGAAGACGCCGAGAATGGGGGATGGTGTCGTCCAAAGAGGTCTCCTTCAACGTCTTCACCTGCCCTGACCACTTGCCCGCAACATAATGGCGTTGTACGCAACTGTCCACCAGTGACCGAAGTTGGAGGCGGCGGTTTGTCCGGGGGCACGTTCCAGACCGAGGTATTGCACTGCTTTTACGCTTTACTCGCGGGCTTCTGACGAGATACCCAATGTTACCACTGTCATCTTGTGGACAGTTCCAGATGTCCCTTCCGAAGCATAGAGGTCCCATTGTAATCTTCTGGGAGGGGTGGACTGCGAGGCTTTGCAGTCGGAATGCCATAACTCGTTTCTACCTGTGGTATTGTTTTCTTTGGACAGGGAGACTGATAAATCCTGATGCTTTGCATCTCATATTCAACCTATGACAGTAGGCAAGATTTGAAACTGAACATTCGAGAGAAATCTCTGGTTGGGAAACACAATTAAAATATGGCAACCAACCAACCAAGTCCTAAACATGTAGGAGCCCTACGTTTCCATCAGACTTGGTTCTTCGTTAGGGGCGACTGTGGCCATTGAGGAGCGGCGTTTTCGGTCTTCGTTTTCTTCTCTCAGGGATGTGGCGCATTTCTCGATCTTAGTCTTTCACGGATATGGCGAAGCCCGTTCACATACTGTTGGTAAAGCACCAAGGCCAATTTATGTTGCCTGGCGTTGTTTGAATGTGCCAGGACTCTATGAAAAGCCTATGTCGGTTGTTAGTCTCTGCGTCGATAATGCTGGTGTTGTCGAAATCAATTCGGTGGTCTTTGACTTCGCAGTGCTCAACGACTGCGCTGCGCTCGTGGTCGAGCTTGCGAACGTCGTTTTTGTGTTGGCGTATTCTTTCATTAAAGTTCTTTGTTGCCAACTTAAAGTTACCAACAGTGTATATGTGAACGGGCTTCGCCAAATCCGTGAAAGACTAAGATCGAGAAATGCGCCACATCCCTGAGAGAAGAAAAAGAAGACCGAAAACGCCGCTCCTCGACAGCCACAGTCGCCCCTGACAAGGAACCAAGTCGGTTCAAAACGTAGGGCTCCTACGTGTTTAGGACTTGGTTGGTTGCCATATTTTAATTATAGTAGGCAAGATACCCTCGGGTACTTCATCTCTGGCTTTTATTCCAGAGGCAACAACTTAAGCATGAAAGGAACATTTGAAACAGTGTGTATACATAGATAGCATCATCGCTATGCTGTTTAACAAAAATAACACCAACATGTTATACTTCGTTAGAAGTATCAATGCGAAGTATGCTTCATCAGCAGACCCAAAGTCTGATGTTTGTTTCATTATATTCTGAATGATCTTGCTAGATAAGCGAGGATTGATTCTGGCTAACTGCTTGCCCTAAGGTCCTAAGGGTGCAAAAAGTCAATCGACAGCCTTACAAGAAAATAATTGGGGATTGCAAGTTGCTGCTAGGCCAACTTAAAAGCATTACAAGATGCATAATGTAAAGATGACTGCAAAGTGCACGTCTTCTAGTCACGTCGGGGCAATAGCTAGGGTACTAAAGGGTATAGCCCTACTTCATCGTACCACAGCTACAGACTTGTGTTACCAACGGAAGGCCCGACTAAAACGAGAACAATTTGCTTGCAGAAGAGCATTGGAGACGCTCCCACCATTGCGAAGGCCCGCGTAGAACAACCGAGCAGCTGCGAGGTTTTTGCCACTACAGTGACCATGGTGGCTGGGAGCAAGGGCTATGTGGCGACCATGACCTCGAGGCTAGAGGGGGACCCTGCCATGCTCCCTCGCAATAAGGTCCGGCGAAGTCTGAGCAACCCTGCAGAGCCCACGGCGGCTCCACAGTCCAGGGCACCTCGTAGATCAGGTGGGTTTTGTGGAGTCGCTCGTTAAAAAGGGAATGTTGAAACTTGCCTTCTGTGAGCAGCTTTTGTGCTTCATGTCCCATCTTCTAGATGAGATGGTGCAAAGACTCTAAGCACTCCCCAGGTAAATATCGGACCGGAAGCAGGATACGAAAATCCAGCTCTGGCTGGACTGATTGGGTTTTAATACTGGGATGACTGCTGAAGAGCAGCCGGAGCCTACATTGGCCGACTTCGGGAGTTGTTCTATGGAGCAGGGGTCAGTGGCGGATCCAAGGGGGGGGCGGTGGGGGCGACCGCCCCCCCCCCCAAACACCTTGCCAGGCAACCCCCCCCCCCCCCCCCCCCCCCCCCCCCCGGGGTTCTTCGTCAGCTCGAAGAAAAAACGTAAGCAATTGACGCAGGATGCAGCTTGTACAACCAGGTGACCAATTGCTTTTCTTATCAACTGAGAAAGGAAGCAAATGCTCTGGGTACAGTGTAGTCTGGGTCTGAGCTTCTCCTGAAGACGCTCCGGACTTCCCCACGACCTTGGCTTAAACATAAGCCCGCTTTCGCCCTCGCCTCCATCCCTCACTGAGGATCAGCGCCGCAGCGCGGAATACAGAAAGAAGCCGACGAGCGCCAGAAGGGGGAGATGTTTCCTCTAATGGGCTTCATACTGCCTGCGGTACGACTTCTCATGGCGGGAAGCTAATAAAAGAAAGATAAACAGTAGGAGCACTGTAAAGGCTGGAGGCTGCTTACACGGGGTCCTCAAGCCGACGCCGTGGGCATTTATTTGTATACAATGCCGTTTCAACTTAGGGTGGCGGGACATATTTTAGGAAAGGCGCCCACTACTTCTTGTCTCCCCTTGGCGCCGTCTTTACTTTTCGAGTTAAACGCGGCTTCTGTGTATTGACGGCAGAGCTTTCGCGCAGCTTTGCAGGAGCGAATATGTGTGTATCGAACGGAACAGAGGCGGGGCTTGCTGGTTTCCAACTGCGGCTTCGAATTCCCTACCTAGGGACTTGGGGCAAACGAGCCCTTTCAAAGATGCGACTATACATAAATTAAATAGACAGTGCTTGTGCCCGTTCGAGTGAACACCGACTCCCAAACATCCATGCTGCTGTCGTGATCGGCCTTCAATCCAGTTGAGATTCGCCGACCGGACAACCGTTCTGCCCCATCATATCTCTGCACCTGTCCTCTCGACCTTGACGAATGAGCTAACTACCCAGAAACAAGTGTTCCTTTCGTACAGAAAATATCCAGACAAAGTGCAATTGAATATAATTTAGAAGGATCCATTGCTGGTTTAAGGTCTTGTCTAAGTTTAAAAGTTTTAGTTGCCGAACTGCAACATGCTTTCAAAAATATTCAAATATTATTCGCTTTCGTTCTCTCGAGTTGCATCCAGAACACGTGAAAACACGAGTTTGGGTTGGCAATGCCGCATGTGCTGCGCTCTGGACATTCCAAATATACGGCGAACAACCGACGAACTTGCCTGGCAGCGTTCGTTTCGCTCGCTGCGTCAACAGTGTTTTGACGCCGCGACCAGCGTCGAAGCCGCCGGGCCATTTTTGTCGCTTGTTTGCAACGTACTTGCTCCATTGATTTAAGCCGCTCTTCCCGTTGCCGCAGCAGTTGAGCACTAGCTCCAACCAGAATGTCTGCCAAGGCAATGTCTTTAAGCTGCCCTAAATCGACTGCTCACGTAGTGTCGGTCTGAAACCCATGTTTCAGAAAGGATAGTGTCACCACAATTTTCGAGATCAGTGGTTCTTAGCCATGGATGTGTCGGGGACCCCTTACGGACCGCTGGCAGTGAGGGGGGGACCCCTTCCAGCCGGGGGGGGGGAGGACGTTAGTAAGTTAACACATCTGGAGCATGAAACAGGTGCCTTTTATTGCTACGTAGCAGAAAAACATAAAACAAAGGTGCCACATCACTTCATTTTGGTCAGTTGATCAAAATGTGCCAACTAAAAAACAAATTTTTTTTGTTGAGGGTCTTGCGGACCCCAGAAGTAGCTTTGCGGACCCCCTGGGGTCCGCGGATCCCCATTTGTGAACTACTGTTCTAGATACTTACCTCTAGCGTGGTCACCCGAAAGGTTTTAATTCAAAGAGTTCGTCCACAACAGTTAAACTGATGCAAAAGCTCTCAAGATCCATATTATGTTATCAGAGTTTAGTAAAAACGATAACTCCACAAAAAATGTAAACACTCCCCCCCGCCCCCCCTGCCGTTTTACACCGAGAAACCGCCCCCCCCTAAAATGGAGGTCTGGATCCGCCCCTGGCAGGGGTTCTCACTTTTTGATCTGAAGGAACCGATTCCTGTCTCTAATGGCAAGCAAGGAACCCTTTCCAGTCTTGGCACTAATGCGGTGCAGAAGCTTACGGACGACAATAATGCAGATTAGTAGTGTTTGGCTCGTAGTACTAGTGCACCAACAAGTGGCTCATATCTGCAAAAATGGACCTCAATCTGGAAACTCGCTTTACTTGGGGGCAGGGACAGCCGAGGAAATTTAAGAATTCGGATGGCCCACGAAGGTAGCCTCGGGAATGCCCACTTGGAGAACCCTCACTATAGAGCGTAGCTCTCTCATACGGTGTTACGATGCAAACTCTACACCGATCCCACTCGTGCAACTTCCCGTGACGGCGGGTGTTTAATCTGAACGCTCTCAGTGGACGACAGTACGGTGGAGGCGCAAGCGGGCTTTGTCGCCGCCCTGGACGAGCTCGGTCCCCTGAGACGCAGCACCCCGGTCCGGCCAGAGGGGCACGGGGTCCACGCCTTCGCCAGCAGGACCATGCTGCGCCCGGAGAAGTGCGGCGTGTGCGGCAAGCGCATCCCTTTCTACAAGGCCGTGTCCAAGTGTGCCAACTGCCCCGCCGTCTGCCACCCCCAGTGCCAGCCCTTTGTGAGAAGCTTGCCGAGCCGCTTTTTAGCCTACATTTTTTTCAATCGTTGCTCAAGATTTTACAAATGAATGAGAATGCCAGGGAAGTCTTTTACATGTGCGAGCTTCCTAACTTCAATAACGTCACTGTGCCTCGCGGCCCTTGAGCATGCAAGTGCAGCCAAAGAGTGGCAAAGGCGCAAGTTGCGAAGACCGGGCGTCTAAGGGAGACGCCCCGTCGTTCTCGTCGTCAACTGTAGACGTCATTTCGGAATACCTTTGCGTAGTGACATCGCTACTACCAGCTTATTCTGGATGTTTAAATTAACAAGAAACATTCTTGGGCTAAGTGTTCGGCATTTCGCAAAGCCTGGATAAAAGCATGGCCGCGGACTGACTGAGGTGCTTGACGCTGATTGGTTGATGAGGAGGTTGTGTGACCAGCGGTGCAGTGAGGAGGAAAGGCAGGCAAGGTGGGAGAGGTGGAGTGAGTGAGAAGGTTGAAGTGCAACGCACTCATCTGGCTGAAGATGCTAGATGTGCTGCTGAATGATGATACGACGTATAAGCATTTATGATGCTAGAATGCTTTACATAAGCAAAACAATTGCCTAGCAATTTGCCACACTTTTTTTCACACAAAAAGCAAAATAGTGAAATAGAATGACTCGCATCTACGTATCGTGGCAGATGGAGCTCGCAGCTTCGCTGCTCTTGAAGAGGCCATTTCATTGGTGACATGCTATAGCTATACACGTTTAGAGGACCTGGAAGATGCTTCCAGCTTGACCCGATACAGCTTTTTTCTGTTTTTAAAACTGCTTCAGAGCTGAGATCAGGCCGGGTGGCAGTGCATCAGGAATGTACTGCATTGCAGATAGTTCACTATGTGTAATCTCCAAACCACAGTAATGTTGATCCCCTGCTCTTTAGTTTTGCCCCTGCTGCTTTACGCATCATCCACTGTGCGTAGTTTGAATTGTGGTGTGACATCGCTCCTCTCCAGTTTTTTTCTCACTGTGTTACAAGTAGTCTGTTGCGCATAGTCTCCGAATCATGGTAACGTTGTCTGCTCTCCTTGTTCCCGCAAGGTCAAGCAGGCCTGCGTGCTGGAGCCCGTGGCCCGTCCCAGGTCGGCGGGAAGGGGTCTGATCTCTGACCACGTCCCTCTTGTGGCCCCCATGGTGCCGCCACTGCTGGCCCACTGCCTGCCCGAAGTGGAGCGGCGGGCGGGAGGGTCCCCGGACGGACTCTATGGCGCAACTGCACCCAGGGAACAAGTGGAAGCGCTCGTGGAACAGTTCCTTCAGGGGAAGGACACACCCAATCTGGTGCAGACTGCTGTTTCTCAAATTTTGAACATTTAAAAGTTTGTGGCGTGATCCAGGGTTTTTTTAGAGCGCAGCTCTTCGGTGCCAGATTCCGGCTTGAGTGGCATTGCCGTCAGCATAACCGTGCGTTGCATTATGGGACATTCCCCATAATGACATCACGAGTGACATCACAAGAGTCACAATGGGCACTTGTGAATGTCACAACCAGTTATGGGCACATTACCAGTAAAAAGTAACAGTGTTACAGTTACAGTTGCCTAGGGGGAAAAAGTAACTCTGTTATTGTTACAGTTAACCAGTTTCAAAAAGTAACGTACTACAGTTACACTTATTGCAAAAATAGTAACGTCGTTACTTCCTCATTACAGTAGGAAAATTGGATACAAGGAATCGCAAACCAAAACTTTTATTTTATTTGTTACACTATAGTGAGAAAAAAGGTAAACCGAGATATTAGAAAAATTTAAACCCAAAGGGTGTTTCTTTTTTTTTTTTTGAGTCATTCGCCATTTCAGCATTTTGGTGTGCAAATTTATTTGCAATAATTGCTATAACTAAGGTTTAGAGTTTTCGGTTTAAACAGATAAAAATCTATAAAAGTAAGCCAAATCATTTTTCGGAAATTCGGTTTTAACGAAAAAAAGATCAGTTTGTAAGTTTGGCGTTTTCGATTTAAACCGATAAAACCATGTCTAATCCGTTTTTTTTAATTTGGTTTTAACCGAAAAAGGTCAGTTTTTTAGGGCCGCGTCGAGGTGGGTCGGGGAGGGGGGGAGAGAGGGAGAGGGTTTTGCAAGGTTCGACATTGTTCGAGGTCTTCGTGATTGCCCTCTTCCAGGGTTCAACATGCAACAAAAGAGGTCTTGAAATCGTCTTCGAGGTACATCTGCGTCCTTTCTGTGATCGGGCTTAGTGTGTCAAGGTCTTGGTTCTCAAAAAAGAAGTTTGGATGTGGGCTAGTATAGTATTTTTCGCTTCATGCACTTCAGCGGACATTGAGGAAAGCCGTTAATGCCTTTCTTAACAGCCTCTCTCAAACTTTCTTGTGGTTGAAAACATAAATACAATGTTTTTTTTGCCATTTGGCTGGGCCTGTACGGTCATCACCTCAGACGGTCACGCCGTCGGAATGGGAAGGAAAAAGAATCGTGCTGAAGATTATGCTCGCGAATTGCGCAATTTTGAGGTGTCTCCTGACGGACGTTGTAGCGAAGACCACGTATGTAAATGTGCCGTTATAATTTGAGTGATCACAAATATCACAGCTACAAGGATCATCTGATCCGGTGTCCGATGATGTTTCTTTCATATTCACTGAAAAAAAAAAACGGTAAAGTTTTTTTGCGAATAAATATACACCGAAAACAAAATGAAAATTGAATTTTAAAATAAACACCGAAAAAAGTACGCAGACTTTTGAAAAAATAAAAACTGAAGACGCGAAACCCTAGTTATAACCTAGAATCAACCGTTTTACCAAAATCATCGGCCCGCGTTAGTGAACGTTTTGGTTTATATTTCGCTCCGAAACGAATGAGGACAAAGATAGCCACCTTATGAGATATACTCGGAAGCAGGCCTAAACATAGCAGGTCAAACAGCTTCGAAAGAATAAAGGGGGAAAGGAGACAATTAACTTCTGGTACTTTACGAGTGTATGACGACCACCGCGACGTCTGTCCGAAACGCCAACTGTAGGAGTCGTGTTCACTCGAGCGCCTCTGAAGAGAATAAGTGAGTTGCACAAGCACCGGCTTTCTGCACAATATGGAGACAGCTTCCTTGAAAACTTATAGGGATGAGGAAACGGCGAACGGCTGGGTGTAAAAACGACAGCACGGACATATCCCGGACACAGCCCAGATGGAATACTGGGAGACATATCTCACGACCATTGACACCCGCAGATGGTCCCCACGAAAGAAGAGTGAGCTATTAGCCAAAGTCGGTGAAACACATTGTTTGCCGCCCCTACCACCGCAGGCGCCGCTTCCTTTATCTCTGTTTCGTGCTAACTCGTCCGTCGTCCATTCTCGGTCGTGGGCTGAACCAGGCAATTTTTTGTTTGTTTAATGCATGACCACGCTTCTTCTTGTTATATTTTTTTTTGTTAGCGAGGAGTTTGGAGAAAAATACATCAAGATGGCAATTTCTCCATGTCCGCGGCAGTGGGTTCTAATTCATATAGTAAAAAAAAAGTAACTGTAACGGCCTAAACAGTTACAGTTACCCAATAAAAAAGTGACAGTGCTACAGTTACAAGTTACCAGTATTAAAGAGTAACACGTTACTGGTAAAAGTTATCAAAAAAGTAACTAGTTACCGGTAACGAGTTACTAATAGTAACTAGTTATTGCCCAAGACTGGTCACAACCTTCACGAGTGCCATCGTGAGGGGGGAGGAGGATGGATAAGGGGAGGGGCACACCCTCCTCTCCATACCTTCCCCTCCTCCTCCTCAAGAACTGCGCTCTAGTTAGCCGTTCCAGAAAGTTGTAAATGTTTTTTTTTAGATTTTACATTGTTTTTTTTTCCCTTGCTGAAATGTTTAGTGATGCTACTATTCGTGCATATACTGTGTGAAATGGATGTTAAATAGGTGTGTGTTGGCTTGCTATGCTTCTACATTCACATGCATTGTGCTCTTCTCTGGAGATTTGTGAATATAATTGTAGGTAGTCTTTTTTTTTTTTTTTTCACTGTTTTAATATATATAAAAGTTATCCTGTTTCTGTCCCTGCATTATAGTTAAATTCTCGCTTGGGTTTTCTTGGACCTTGTGCAAACAATCAAAACATTTCAGTGTGCATTTTTTTCAGGATATTTTTAATGATGAGGCTGGCACCGATAAGAATGTATACTACATACAAATCTAACATTTCATTTCACAGAAAAACAATTGCAAGCAGACAGTATGAGAGCTGCTTCCTGCCCAGATGTTTATGCCCACTCATTCTTTTCTTTAGCTATACACAAATGGAATGGTCTCGACCAGAAAATTGTCAATGCAACCTCCGCACTGTTCTTTTCGGTTTCACAAGGTGCTTGTTGTTAATCTAGTACCGTATGTGGTCGATATAGCTATTTGTACAGTATATACTGTAAAACCCTTTGTTTTTGCAATTCGGTCCGTGCCGTTAAAGCTTTTGGATTTTTCAATTCGCGAAATTTGCGAAAATTAAGGGCTCGCCAGAAATTTCCAAAAGTTGTCCAACACTGTGTTCTGTTGAGACAGGTTGTTACAATTTACAGCTGTATTTATTTCAAACAGGCTGCCTGTGAACTGGCCGTGGTGTGCGGAGCTGTGATGAACTTTCTCGGTTCCCTGAAGGAGACCCTGGTTACCAAGTCTCTCTGGAAAAGCTTTGTCAAAGCAAGCGGTCAGTGGCCCTATGCGCTTAAATTATTATTGACCAGTCGGGGAGGAAGGGCTCTCGAGAAATAGTGCTTGGGATAAGCGTCAATTGTTTGTTTTCTGTTGGTGCAGTGTGTCTGCCTCTGCGGTCGTTGCCATCAACATAATGAAGGGTCGATGAGGGCCGAAAAACGGCAATGTTTTGCAAAAAAAAAAAGTTGATTTTTGGTTTTGTGGTGTTCTATTATTCTTGAATCATTGTTTGACGTATAAAAAGAATTAGTGCCGGTTATGACCACGAAATTAGTCAAATACACATTTGAAGACCTCCACCCAGAAAGGCAAGGTTTCGAGTAGGCCCAGCCGTCTCCTCTCCATTGCAGTCTTCTGTAGCTTCAATTTCTCGCAGGAATTTATAAACAAAATATCATTTTCCATGCCACGAAACAATATAGCTACACATCTATGGTAACATTTGAACAAGTTTTTTTTGTGCGTGTAATTTTGGGGCATCTTTACAGCTTGCGCACAAGAATTTCTTTTTTTAATATTGTCTTATCACAACCACATTTGGCAAGCACATACCTTAGAATATTTAGAATGAATCTACATAGGTTTGGTTAGAATGTTTATTTTTCATAATTATGAAAAGTTATTGAAACGCTTGTTAACCCCTTGAAATTGCATGTTTGCTATTTTTAATTATTTGAAAATGAAAGTGTCATACGCATTATTTTTTGTTGTTCACTGCGCTCTATGGTTTAAAAAAAGTGAATTAGTTAATTTTACAAGGCTTTTTTAAGTGTGTTGCCACGCCTTCAATGTGCACAAGAATGTGGTCTTCTCTTCACATACTTTCATCAAGAGCCCAAAGAGCAAGCTGTACCAAATTTCAACACCAGATTTATAAAGGGAAGATTTAGCACCATAAACAAACATTGCATTTCAATATTGTAAATAATTAAAAAAAATAATGTCCCCTTAAGCAAAATTGCAGCATGCAGTACAAAATTTTGTGCGCGTCTTCAGCTCGCCTATCCACAGTGGTCGTCGTCAGCTCAGGCTGAGCCGATAACTCGACAACACATATTCTGAAATCCAACTTCGTGCCACATAATTAATTTCATTGGTCAAACTTTCCATTTCCTCGACTCTTAAACGTGCGATAGGGGCAACTGGGACATGGATTCGTTGATCTGTCTGGTGACCAGCCCTTCTTGCTGGTCTTTCGTCTCCCATTTGATGTGTCTGACAAGGATCACGGGCTTGCAGGGTGCGAGGATCCGGCGGAGCGCCTGTGGCAGGCAGTGCACCTCGTTGGGCAGCTTCCTCGTCCCAACCGCGACACCCTGTCGCTGCTCCTGAGGCACCTCCAGCAACTGGGGAAGCGACAAGGTGCAGCGGGGGACCTAGTGGCCACGTTCGGCCCCTGCCTTGTGGGCTTCTCCGTGGACAACCCCAGCCCCCAGCTCGAGCTCCAAGAGATCCCCATGCAAGTTGCGGTAAGCCGTTTGCAGGCAGATCATCGGCATCCGGAACACTAAGGTGGTGTTAAAGGACACATGAAGAGGAAAAATAGTTTTTTAAACAGCCTAGATGGAAAAAGAATGCTATAAAGCGTGGTACACCTGCACGCTGTCGTGCGGCATCGCTGCCGCATGCTGAGCGTGGTGCGCCGCCGTTCCAAAGCATTTCTTCACACCGCCGCCGAAGCCGCGCAAGTTTGTCTGCTCCGGGGCACGGCCGCCGTCATCCGACCAGCGCACAGGTCTATCGCGTCTGCTTGCGCTCTTTAGGAGCTTCCTTTGGGCTCTAAAAGTTACCTTTTAATCTTCGTTTCTTGTTGCACTTGAAACAGAGATTAATAAGGTACTTTTAGAGACCATTGGAAGATTCCGAAAGAGCACAAGTACCAGGTGACAAATAGCGGCCAGTCACGTGACAAATAACTGCCACTTTTCCGCGGCGCCCGCGGGCGCCAACTAGAAATTTGTGTGATAAATATAGCTCTAAAATTTTTTTATTTTTTATTGTAAATTCATTTTATGACTTCCTTTTCCCAGCCCGGCTGTTTTAAAAAAATGTATTTTTCCTTTGCATGTGTCCTTTAAGCAGGCCCATCAGTTGTCTTGCGTTCGTGGAGCATGCTACGTAACTGCGATTGGCTCTAAAAGTATATCCAGAGTGCAACACACCCAATACACCCTTGACGAAATTTGAAAAACGCCCGCACGAAGTTCCGTACGCTGCTTGCCACCACAGCATCTACCGCATTGAAGAGAGCAAGAGGGTACCGTAGATGCTCGCCTGCCCTGGCCCACTCTCTGCAAAGGTTGCCTCTGGCGTCTGCTAGGGCCAGTTGTACATGGCATTCCCAGCGTATACCTTTTGGCGCTGCACGCTTCGCAAAAGGCCTATTATTGTTTGCCTCTTAACAGGTGCTTTCATCTACGTCCTTCGACAGTGCTGGTCGCGGTTGTGAAGTTGCACTCTTTGTGCGCCTTCTTGCAACTTGCAGTCGCTGAACTGTTTCTAAAGACAGGATTGAACGTGCAGACCTTTTCCTTCTCCTACACTGCAGACGCGGTGGAGGAGGTGTACACGGCGCATCGCCGTTATACTTCGTCTAGCCCTAAGTTGGAACTGCGGTAGAAGCACCTGTGCTCCTGTTTCGCCACATAATTGCACTCCCGCCCATATCCATGTGCAGAGGTCAGGGTCACGTGACAAAAGGGAGGCGTCCGATTGGTCCAGCGGGCACGTAGCTCCCACCGCAGTCTCGGCTGGTGGTGCAATTGAGCGATTGTTGGATTTTGCTGTTTGTCTCCCTGGATCAAAGGACTGTTGCAAAAGCTACTAGTGTGCTACAAAGTACCCAATTGGGGCACTAACCTAAGCATTATAATACGATGCCCGGCAATGCCCCTTCGAAGTGCTAATATGTGAAAAGGTGCCAATGCCGCGTTCACGCTGAAGGAGCCGTACAGTGTACAGTCGCAGACGATATGAAAAAGCCTGTGAGGGCGTGGTTCCCGAGACCTCGAGTGCTAGCTAAAGGAAAGAAAGCAGAGTTTTCATCGAGGGAGGTGGTCTCCAAAACTTTTGGCTAATGGGCTGGATTAGGGTTTGTCAGTCTTTAGGGCCGAGGAAAAAAGAATATGCATAAAAGAGGAAGAACTAGATAAATAAATCTAGATAAGCATTTAAATGCAGAAACAAATATTAGAGTAAGTATTAAAAAATCCTAAGGTGGATGAATACATATACTTCAATTTGAAATTTAATATTTAGCGAATTATGACAGTACTCAACAATTGTGACCGAGAAAACTTGCCAGGCATAAATCGGGGTGCTTGGGAACTTTGGCATATTTGCCCAGTGCAAAAGAGTAACGAGTGCTAAAACGAAGGTTGACAATATGCAGCAGATTGTGACAGAGGACACCAAGCACAATGCGTGTGAGAACGCAAAGGAATTTTAACATCTTTGCAAAGACACAAAGCAGGGAGCTAAAAATGGTGTTGCCGGTGATGACAGTGTTCAACGAACACTACGGCGAGAGGGCCCACACTCCGATGCTGTTTCCCTCATTCTTTCTGCTATCTCCGTTTCCACGTTTAGAGTGTGTCGTGGCACCATTTCTTTACGTGCACTTCGTTTTGCGCCGACAGCTAGTGGGTCCGCTGGAAGCGGGCCGCGGACCGGGCTTCATTCCAATTGCCGCGGGCCGGTTGGAAGACTCCCACGAGCCGGGGTGTCGAGAACCCTGGTCGGGGATATTGTGCAAAGAAGCGGCATTTAAGCATGGTTAGATTTTACAAAACGATTGCCGAATTAACCCCGATTGTTGTAGCACTCGGTGATATAAAACAAGAACCGCTCATCGTCGCTTATTCCACAAACTCTTCTCTCAATTTGCCGACCCGGCTGGTTCAGCCACAATGAATTTTGCCCTTTGTCGTGGAGCACCTCTACCCAGTGCTGAAATCTGCATCAACTCGGCGACGGCTAGTTGAATGGGGAGCGACAAAAAAAGTTGAACAGGCGCCGAAGCCTCGATGTAAGCTTTCTTCCGATAGATATTTCCGAGAGTCTTGTAAGCCACGCGCTCGACCGGGATTTTTCGCATCGTTCGCGACTCTAGATCCTGGACAAAGTTAAACGTAACTAACCGCGTGGTAGCACTGTTCGTACTGCCACAGATTTACACTCGAGTGCATTGTCCCCAACTTCACATCTCCAGCAGTTACTCATCTCATGAGCTATAAGGTCTGGGCTGTCTAAACTTGAGAATTTTCGGTCTCTTCCAGGTGATGCGTTGCCTTTTGGAAGTATCGCCGGAATACTGGGACATAAATCTTGACCCCAGCAATGCTCTCCCTGCACCCAGGCCAGGTAGGGTCGTAGCACCGATTAATAAATGGAGCACTTGCGCGATATATTGGTCGATTGATCGATTCAATGCTGCAATAGGAAATTGATGCATTGGTAAATACATAGTCAGTTGCAGCCGTTAATGCCGATACTATCACACTTGCAGCAGTTAATGCCAATACTATCACACTTTTTCCTCAAATGAAGCAGCGGTCAACGATTCCAAAACTGTCGAGGCTATGCACTATGACCTATTGTTGCAAATGGCCTTTTTCAATTTAGTCCCCCTTTCCCACTCTCATCACTTCCGTGGAAAACACATCCAGATAAGCCCGATACTGTAGAGAATTAATCTTTTGTACCCTGAAGATTGGGTGCTTCTCTTTGCTGTCTTTGATTTTTGCTACAAAAAACTGTCGGTTGAGGTGATGCAGCCAGCGTCAATGACACTGTGAAACTGACTGTTCATGGAAGCGCTCATTTTCAGGCTTTGTTCTGCCAACGACCACAAGCAGGGAAAGCAACCGGTTCAACTTCAGGTAATGAAACATCTTCAGTTATAGCCAGTGTTGGGAAGTACTTTAGGTACATTGTACTTAAGGCACTACTTAAAGTACTGTAGATTTAGAAAATCTGTGCTTTAGTTTAAGTGTATTCTCATAGTATGTACCCATACTTTCCTTAAAAGTATTTTTTCTGGTCCTTTTTGAGGGAAATATATCTCCCGACTTCAAAGTACATTAGCGAAATTTCTCGGCAACATCTTTCAAGAACCATGAGCTCGCGTCCTTGGCTTTCCCAGTACTATACATATTTTCTAAGGTCAAGTATAAAAGTTCACCAACCTCGAACAAAAATGGCGTATCGTCATCTGAGGATAGGCTATCATCTTGAAAGGCATCGTATCTGGTACGTCATTCCTCTGAGTGAAGTAATGGTGCCTATAAGAGCGATACAAATAAGGGCCTTATAAGTTGATTCTGTTAAACGGTTTGTCAGCAAGGGTAAAACAACTACTCTGTGGCCATTTCGCTTTATTTTATGTTTGCTGCCATTCCCGAAAATAACTAATGCACTCTTGATTACCCTGGGTCAATGCATACCAATTCAAAAAATGCACTGTACAGGGGAATGAAAAGGCTCATGAAAAGTTTTGAAGTACATTGTATTTATAGTATGTTGTGCCCAGTGTACTTACTACTTTACTTAAAGAGACACCGACACCCCCAAACATTAATTTTTTTAATATTTTTGCACGGCGATTCATTATGGTGTCGGAAGACTACCCAATCAATATTTTGCTAAAGCGTCAAGTATATTTTTAATAATAAAGTCAAAAAATGAAACTGCTCAAAGCCAAAACTGGACTGGAGAGGAAAGAGAAATATAGAGGAGGAGAGAGGTAGTGGAAGTCACACTGTTGCGATACTTTTTTTCTTCCCAAACAACGCATTTGTAGCTTTTTAAGCCACAAAAAATGGGTATAGTATTTCTTCTCTATTTTTTCGATGATCTACGACTTTGATTATATTTGGTGGTTGTGTCTAAACCATAGAAAAACGGCACGCGGCCACGGAGAAGGGAGCGCGACTCAAACCAACCAGTTCTCGATCGGCTGTTTTCGGACGGAACGAAAACTGATTTCGATCCGCGAATTGTTTTCTGGGTAGTTGGGATCTCATATGTAATGTACATTGAAAACCTTGGCGGGCATAAATACCCTATCAGTGTCCCTTTAGAACAGCCTGGATGGAAACAAAATGCTGTAAAACAAATTCACGACGAAAAGAAATTTTTAGAGCTATGTACGATACGAGAATTTCTGTCAAGCAAGGTGTAATGGTTCTCCTTTCCACTTCTCTTGAGCCTCTGTGTCCGTGTGGAGGGAAGGTTAAGCCTCTTGCATTGGGTTCGCTGCTTGGCTGAAAAACGCTTGGAAGTGGCAAGCCTCATGCAACTTCCGCTCAACTAGGATGGCCAGGTTTGGCTACTTCGTGCCAAATTCGCTACTTTTTGAGGTTCATGGTTACTGAAAATTGAGGCTTGCTACTTTTAGGGGCGAAGCTCCTTAGGGTCTAGCCTTGTCCGTCCGGTGTCCGTGCTCACATCGATTGCCATCCCATCTGTCTTCTTAAAAAAAGAAAAAATGTTTGCGCAGTCGACAGGATTCAAACTTGTGCGGGGATACCCCAATGAATATCTAGTTCACCGCCTTAACCACTCTGCCATGACTGCGGGACGAGTAGGGGTGTCCGAGATGCGGTAGTAACTCAAGAGCTGGGGATGTCATAAATGAAACGTTGCATGTAGCCACTCAACGTCTATACAGGAGAGGGCGCTGTAGTCAAATGCGTATATCATCGCGTTAAACTTAGCACGCACTGGCTCAACGTTTATAGACGAGAAGGCGCTGCGGTCAAATGCTCAAATGCGTATATAACCTATGAACAAAATCAGTATAATACTACCTATGAACAAAATCGGTATCATCAGCACCACCAGACCTTTGCCCAATCAACATCATTCACCACGTGGAGATGCGGTCATTTTTTAATGCACATACCTTTTACTGCAATGAAGACCCTCAGTCTGAATCTGTGATGCCATGACAATTGCATGAACGTCTCGAGTGTTTTTAAGAATCTAAACATCAGTTGGCGGGATGTTGTTTGAGAACGGTGCATCATTGTTGGTGCCGCCCAAGCAGAAAAACGAAAGCATGTTATAGTAGCTTCAGCCACTTAAAGGGGCACTGACACCCCAATGGTCTATTTTTTTTTTTTTATTGTCTAAAACGACGGAGATTGTAGTCAGACACACAAAAAAACCGCATCGCAAAAATTTTTTTTCTTACGTGCAAAAAACCGCCTTTTTATTTTTGGCACATTCCTCTGCTGCTCCTCGCTTCTTTTGATTCATGACGTCAAAAATCATGAAATTTAGAAACTTAGTAGGCAACAGTTCTATTAACATTTAACGGCGATCGTAAAACATGTTTTTTAACGCAATTGCGAACGACGGCCCTTCTTTTTGAAATACCGAAAATCGGAGTCCGTTGTGGTGCCGCCTCCTGGATTTCTATCATCCCTTGGAAAACGGGCGAAACTGCTCAAAACAGTTTTTGTTTGGTCCGCCGGCGCTCGCTCCTTTCCTCCTTGCTTTGGGTCGCGATGGCAACAGCACGGAGTCGTGAAAGAAAGTGGACTCTCAGGACTCCACAATATTTGGCGTCAACGCACCGGTGAAGATCGCGCGGGAACTTCGAATTCGGCATCTGGAAGTTGTTTTTTTACTTCACAAATGCTGAATTCCCAAGTTTCGAATTTTGAGGGTAACGTCCCGGAATCGCTTTCAATCGTTTCGGATAATAAAAAAGAATGATTTTGATGTGTCAGTGCCCCTTTAAAGGGCTACTCCACCGATTTTTTCATTGTCTCCGATTTGCTTGAAATTTTGCTAAACTAACCAACAAACATCGGGAAAATAGTATCCCAAATATTAGGTCAAAATATTGTTTTTTCGCGAAGTTATTGAATTTACAGTTTTGGTCCTCACAATCTTTTTCAAGCTCCAAGTCTCTACTGGCAACAATGAAAAAGTGACGTCAGTGGAAGGCAGGGGTTCACTCTTTGGGCTGTAGATTTTGTTTTAAACTGATTCGAAGCAGTTTCATGGTGTCAAATGAATGCTTGGGAAGCTCGCTGCAGTACCCGCGCTCCAGCACGGAACAAATGATTGGCATATTCTATTTTTTGGCTGCTTGCTCGACTGGCAAGCCTGCCTGCCACTGACGTCACGGCCCTGAAAAACGCGCGTATATTTGAATGTTGGTTTTTGCATCATTTCCATTTGCCGATTTCGCATGAACTATTATGAATTTCGCGATCCTAAATAGCATACCGGAGAGAGTAAAGGCCGGCGAGTCAGAAAATATAGTTAGTTGAGGTAGCTCAAAAAATCGGTGGAGTACCCTTTTAAGCCATTCGCATAAAGCAAGCAGACACATGAAAGCAACGTGATCGGGGGTTTCCTCAGGAGGGAATTAATGTTGGAAGGGGAGGGAGGGAGGGAGGGAGGGAGGGAGGGAGGGAGGGAGGGAGGCAATTTCTTTTAACTGTATTAACTTTTTTCCTGCCGATTTTTTTTTTTGTGTGTGTGTGTGTTGGGGGGGGGGGGGGGGGGGGGTTAGACATGCATGCGGAGGGAGTGCCTGAGAGTTTCTGAGACTACATTCAACATGACAGATTAAACATTTAATGAATAATGCCTAACATCTTTTAAAAAAAAAGCGTAAAATCAACCAAAAAGCAACGTTGGAAAATATTAATCACGGTATCAATGCTGCGATACCGCAATGAATGCCAATAACCTATATTTGACTGAAGAAGAATGTACCAGTTTTCCACTATTTCGAAAAATCATCAGTGAAAGTAAAATCATTCTTTTTGCAATGCGAACCCATGTCGGACCAGGTTATCTCTGTGTAAAAAAAAGGGGCAATCAATTTTATTAAATTCTAGCCTGACACAAAAAAGATGACCATATGGATTAATCTCTGTACCACATTGACCAAAAGCTGCAAACAAAATTTTTAGGTATTTTTTAATTACACATATGCTTATAATTTAATTTTCTTGTTTGTTTGTAAACAAACATTTATAATTTCAGCTTTGGAGCAAACTTTTTCTTAATGTTATGGCAGACAACATTTAAACTTATGAAGAAAAACAGGGAAAAATGTAAAGCAGTAACTCGCAAGTATGCACAAATACTGGAAATAAAGTGGACCTTAGTCAAAACAAACAACAGTACACCACTGCACCAGTATGCACACGCCGACTTTGCGATTGAACCCAGACGATGCATGCGAACTGGGTCGCTCGCTACAAACTTTTTTCCCGACCAAGTGCGACCTCAGCCAGTGCTGCAATCCGTCTGAGCCAATCAAGCAGTTTCAAAAGCGTATCTCCACTAGGGATGCCGCAAATGTCCCGGAGTTCAAGTTAGAAAATTTAGAGCCTCTGTATGGTTCAAATTTGAAAAGTTTGCAACTTTAGAATCCTGCTGAGGTTCGAATTCTAATAATTCGAAAATGTCAAGATTTCTAAAAAAGTTTGAGATCGAAGATTTCAAATTTTTTGACAGATGGCTCGAAAAGTCTGTATAGTTAGATAAATATTGAGGTACTAAGTTCGAAAACTTTGCAAGTTTTGATTTTAAGTTTGACGTCTTTGAATTTCACAGACAAAAAAAGTTTTCATGAATTTGTCTAAAAGAAATTGCGAAATATGCTACAAATTTTACTGAAAACGTTGCCCATTTCTCTCATGCCATGAATGGTTGAACGGTTTATTGAAAAGCCCCGAGGCGGTTGGGTGAACCCTAATGGCAATCGGACCAAACATCGCCCGAATACAATGCTGCCATGAGACAACTAAATATATGGGAAACACACACACGCACATAAAGGCATCCAGGCTTCACGAAAAGTTTTAGTTGCTCCAAGCGTTTATTTTCGGTGGGACGACCCGCGGGATGGAGAAAACGCTGAACAGATAGGCAAAGCACTCGGCGCAAGTCAAGGTAAAGCAGAATGCAACCAGACTAAATTAGGGGACCACTCGGATCCCTAAATAAAATACAGCTGATAAGGTCCTGACCAGTTATCACGCAAATTGTATTGCCATTGCCTCGAAGTTCTTCAACAAATGGAGATATCGGCCGCTCTAAAATTCAGCCGGTTACTAATGATGATAAAGTGGGTGCCGATTCAGCGTTTTCTGTACCGCATCAGCGTCGCGCTCTGCGTGCGCCTTTCCTTGATTTGAGGAAATCTGGGGACTCAAGTTTGAAAACAATTAATGCTAAGAGAGACGCTCCCAGCGAAGCGCCTCAGTTGAATTTTAAGCCTGCACGTTGAAGATTTGTTGACCCAGGGATTACCTCGGGCAATGTCCAGAGTTGGGCGCGGGAAAGGCTCTGTGCAGAAGCCAAAAGAAAAAGAACCAAACACAGTTCTAAGCTGTGTTTGAGACCTTGTGTTCATCACTCCCTTCTCTTCCTAGTCTTGGGTTTTTTAGTCAAATATGTATTCGCCTTCGCATCAAGGGAAGGAGCCAAGGAGCTCAGCAGCGTGAAGGAGAGGCTATAAAAAGGCTGATGCTCTGCGCGCTCAAAAAGACCATTTTGCACTAAATATATATATATATTTTTTTTTTTGTTTAGTCGCAGATTTTTAAAGAAGGTTCTCTCACTAGCGGTGAGCGTTCCTCCCTTCCCCTCCTCCTCCTTCCCCCCCCCCCCCTCCCCCCGCCCTTTAGGAGGTGGGTAGGGAAATCACTGACCATAATAGAGTAGCACCTAGCAATCACCAGCGGTAGGGTGGTGTCCTCAGGACTGCTGCTGGGCTGAAACAAAATAGAAAAAAAAAGTTCTCTGACGTTTGCTCTGCGTTTGCTCCGTTCAGCCTGCCGCCTCTCCATAAAGTGCCTAAATAAACTTTCGGAACTGCAGCCAAAATAAAAACACGTAAATTACTATTGTTTACGTTTTCGCGCAGTTTGCGCCTGTTTGGCGACTACGAAAATAAAAACCTCGGCTCGATGGCTCGTTTTTTTTCTTTTTTTTTTTTTTTTTTTCGTCTCTTTTTCGAAGACCTGGCAACCCTGCGCTCAACTTCGGCGCGCGCCGAGTCGTTGTGCTGTTTTCGTAGTGCTGGTGGTAGCGGTGGTGGTAGGTGCGTCACTTACCGGTGACGCAGGCCTTCCTGCTGCTGTTGGCTTTGGCAAGAAAAGCGTTGGGATCGCCCCTGGCTTTAAAGACACGCGTTCGGTCCACTCGCTGCGTGGCTTGAAGGCGTCGGGGGCGAAGTGACGGGAGCACACCCGAACGCTCTTCTCGCTAGGCGTACGACCGATCGCCTCGAGCCAGGTAGCTCTCAAATGCTTGTCCTCCGGTACGCCATGACTACTGAAATTCTCGTAGTTGCGGTCACAAGGATTGCAGCCCTTCGTCGAGCAGCGGCGTCGCTTTGAGGGACACGACATGTTGGAAACAAACTGCGTCCCTTCGCACAGAAAATGGCGAAGCTTTTGTCGCTTTTGTTGTCGTGAGAGTGAAAACGGAAGCGACGGTTTTCTTATACTTGTTGTTTCTTAAACATCAAAATATTTTGTTAAAAAAAAAGTTATAAAAAAAGAAGAAAAAAACGAAATTTAATATTTAACTTTTAGAGCCCATAGAAAGCTTCAGAAAGAGCGCAAGCACCATGTGACTATAGGAGCCAGACACGTGACTGCTAGTTGCCACTTTTCCGCGGGGCACCGCAGGGCGCCAAATACAAATTCGTTTCGCGCCGTAAAGAAGCTTAAAAAACGTAAATTTATTAGATGTTCTTTTTTTTTTTTTTCCCCATCCAGGTTGTTTATTATTTTGTTAGCAGGTGTCTTTGAAAGTGCGTAACCTCTTTTTCTTTTTTTAGGTGAACTTTATTTAACACTAGTTGTAGCATTGGTTCAAAGCTCTCCAATATGCATTGCTCTATTCTGAAGGAACCATATGTATGAGTTGCTGGCAGTGGGGAAACAAACTGGTACTTCTCTCCTTCAGATTGGATTGCCGTCTGCATCATTTCTGCAGCATTCAAGTCTTGCTATCTCAGAGTCTTCAGCTCTATTTTAACAAGCCTCCCGTCACATTGTGATTAGTCCATTGATACCTCTCGGTAACGGGTCCACCGTCACCAAGAGAGTCTCGACAGTGTTGGGTGTGTGGGCGGCAGAAGATAGTCTAGGAATGAGACATTCAGGCCTCTTCAGTACTCGCTTGAATTTGTCAGAAAAGTCGGCATGGAACAAGAACTGGCAAATTTTCAGATTGTGAGCACTTAATTTAAAGTACTACGAAACCAATGTAAAATGTAATGCCAATAGTTTCAATCTTTGAAGAGAGAACCAGGACATTCCATTTCCCTGGGACAATTTAGTTGGCTTAGATCACTTGCTCAGCTTGTCTTCGTGGTGTCCTTTCAGGCGTCCCATGGCGTTTGCATTCTTGGAGGCCCTGCCAAAGAAGTAGGAGGACCGACCCTTTTATTTAGTGTTTGCTTTGCTTTATGTTATTTTGTTAGTTTAATTGGGCTCTGACCCACATGCTGTGACAGTATAACTGGTAAGACTATATATCTGATGATTGTTTGTTTGCTATATTAAAGATTTTATCAAAAAATGTTGGTGATTAAAAGATCCGACAGTATCACAGCGGTGCCGTTTACTTGAGCTTGTTCACAGAAGTGCTTTGCCATTAAGAGTGCCGAAAGTTGCAAACATCTTTCGAATGCATGCCACAAACTATGACACACAACAATTGACGTCATCTCGACCAAGCCCAGAAGCGTGCAGCACTTTCCCAGTAGTTTCTTGCTGTTGTTGGATGTGTGTAGATCGCAAAACGGAAAACCACATAATGGCATTACAGTGGACGAATAAGTGTCCAGAAATTTTGTGCAAGCGTGGTATTCATACCATTTTACTGATTAGCAGTTAATCTTACTATATTTGATGGGATTTATGGAGCATATGAGGCACGCATTCACAAAGATATCTGCATGCCCATGGCTATATCTAAAGTTCCTCTATAGGCTCCCTACTGGAGCCAGAATTTCCCAGTCTTTTCCACGTGCCACCATGCTGCTATTTGCCAAGATCCAATCACACGAGGAGCAGGGTCAAATACCGTGCAGGAAAGTAGACGTTGCACGCACCCTAGCGTACATTCCCCTGCTTCTGAGCGCACCACACGCCTCGAACGTTGGCGCCGCTATTCGCCGAACGCAGTCACGTGAGGAGCAGGCTCCAAATGCTGTGCAGGAAAGACTGCGCTACGGGGACAAACGCTCAACTCTGGCTCTCGTAGGGAGCCTATACAGGAACTCTAGCTATACCCAGTTCACCCCTAAGCTGACAATGCAATGCGAGGTACGCACTTGTACGGCTATCTTTCACCATGCGATAACCCTCCCACCCGTACTGCACTGTTGTCTCGGAGGCAGAGTATGCATGCTCCGTTTCACCTTGCCAGGGACTGTGGAGGACCCCAAGGACCAGCCAAGCCCTTCCAATGTTGTGCCAGTATCTTGACCTTCCGGAGGGGTGCAGCAAAGCGGGGGTGCGGGGGCAAATAGTCAAGTGACGTGTTCACAGCACTGGATTGGCTGGGATGGCTCGTAGCATCCACTGCAGTCCATCATAAAGAGAAACTGAAGTATAGCCATAATTTTACCCAACTGATGGCTGAAATACATGCTGCAATCAATTGTAGGTGGCTACTTTTCCTTTATGCCATCAGTTCAGACGAATAATTTCAATAGATGACAGAAAAGCATACAAGTCCATTAACAGCCCAGCATGCATTGTTCCTTATTTATATCTATATATATAACTAAAAAATAAAGGCCTAGCTATTGAGTTCCTAAAGTGGTCTCAAATAGCTCAATGCCGCTTTGTAAATGGGCAGCTTTTGGGCATTGCTGCTCAAAAGGGTCGTGCTAAATGTTTCAAAGCAATCATCTGCTTTCGTTTCTATAGTTCACGCATTAGACTCCTCTTATTGTTGCCAGGGTTAACCAGAATTCGTGTGATCTTTTAGCTGCCTTACTGACCCGTGCTTGCAAAATTCATCTGGGTCACGCACCTCATATTCCTCCAAGGTTTATTGGAGGCTGCTTGCGTACTACTACCTATTCTTTGGCTTATTCTATATGCCACAAAGTAAACCTCAACACCAACCAAAAAAAAATTTGCAACATCTCCCACAAGACATAGTATGCCCAGTGTGAAACGGGTGTTTATAACATTCCCCCATCATATAGCAAGTGCTACATAGGGCACACTGGCAGAGGGAGATGCAAGGGCACGTCAGCATGTAGTGTCCGGCGTTGCTGCGTTGGAGTGAACTAGGAAGGACGAGTGAGGCGAGCTACAGGCTCTGCTCATGCTTTCAGCTGCACCTCGGAATGTGGAAAGCGATCGGTGGAACAAGCCACTTCGATCGCAGTGCCACCTTCCCTGCGATCAAAGTGAGCGACGACACAGGTCAGAGGTAAAGTCAAAACGCGTCACGTCGTCATTGTCGACTAAGACGTTGCGAGACGCCAAGACGCTGTCGTAAAGCCGTCGGGACATCGCGTCGCGTCGAGGACGGCGCTGTTACGAGACGTCAAGTCGCCGTCGTAACGCGGTCATGACATTGCGTTGTGTTGTGGACGACGCTGTTACGTGACATCAAGTCGCTGTGTAACGTGGTCGTGACGTCACGTTGAGGACGACGCCGTTACGCGCCATCAAGTTGCCGTCGCAATGCGGTCATGACGTTGAGCCTTGTCAAAAACATGGCTGTGGTCGCCGACGTTGACGTCGAGGCCCCATGCAACGTCAAACATCGCTATACCGTCATCCTAACGTCGTCAACGTCGCGACAATGCCTTGACAGCGTGTAACGTCGTTGTCTTCGCCAACATCAACGTCGACGTGCCGTCACGAGGAAGACTTGACGTCCTGTAACGTCGTCAACATTGTCGTGACATTGAGTTGCGTCATGTCGACAACGGCGTCGACGACCTAACACCACGCGTCTTTATGACATAGCATTGACAGGGATGCCATCATCTTGACGTTGCATGATCTCAACGTTGACATTGACGTCGTTGTCACCGCAGATATGACCTCGGAACGCAGTCTTGATGTCTTGAACTCGTGTTGTCGATGACGACGTTGACGTCTAGGTGGCATCGTGATGTTGCATTGCATTGTGACGACAAGTCAGATGGCGGTGACCGTAAGTATTGACGTGACGCCTGACGACTAGGTTGTGTAAAAAAATATAGCCCGGTGCTCTGTTGTTTTCATTACCTTGAGCAGTGCCAGTTGAGCCCATACCTCGGCGAAGTCACTCACGAACTCGCTCACTCACACTCACTCACGCTCACCGCGTCATGGTGAAGGGCTGTGAATGACTTCGTGAACTCGGACGAAGTCGTGATGTGAAGGGGATGTGACTTCGTGAACGCGGAAGGAGTCGTGATGTGAATGGGCGTGACTCCGTGAACGCGAAAGAACCCGTGATGTGAAGGGGATGTGACTTCGTGAACACGGAAGGAGTCGTGATGTGAATGGGCGTGACTCCGTGAACGCGAAAGAACCCGTGATGTGAAGGGGATGTGACTTCGTGAATGCGGAACGAGTCGTGATGCGAAGGGGACTGACTTCATGAACTCGGAAGGAGCCGTGATGTGACGGGGAGTGACCTCGTGAACTCTGACGCACCCGTGATGCAGTAGTGAAGGACTTCGTGACTCTGGTGTATACGTGATGTGATCTGAATTTGTGATGTGATGGGGACTGAGTTCGTGAACTAGGAGTCAGGACTCAGGAGATGGCGTTATGGGTTTGCTTGCGTGTGCGTACTCTTCGCGACTGATAGCCGACTTGACATTTGGAAGTGTCTGCAGCATGTTGGTGCCCTTACACGCAGAAACATGCTGTGCAGAAACTTGGAAGGAACTTCTGTTAGAGCCCAGAACGAGATTCGTAGGGGTGGTCTGGTAACGTTTGGGGGAAGCAACTGCAGGGGGCGTTCGCTTTGGAGGACTTTGAGAGAGGATGTGACATTTTGCGTGTGCGACTGTGCGCGGCTTGAGCGCGAAATCGGAAATGGGGAGGGGACTGTGTATTGCAGACGAAGCGGCACCAGCGCTTCCCAGATGGGGATTGGGGAGAGGGGGGGATGTTTGGACCGGCACAGACTCAGCGGCGACTCCAACGAGTTTGGCGGACCTCCGGCTCCCTTGCCCCGATACTGCGGGCGTGCGTACCCGCGTCGCGTAGTACATGTGCAGCTTAGCGAACGTTAGGGGAGGCTTTGTCTGTGCGCGGCAGACGTTTGAGCCTCCTGCATGGCCGTGGGGTTCCGTTTACGCGGCGCGGCTTGGCGGCTCCTCCTTTCGGTGTGTGTGTCTGTGTGTGTCATTGTGTGTGGCGGGCCGGGGAAGGTGTCGTTTTGCCAGTGTGCTATTCTGCCACGGGAGGGTTTCTCTTCGCGTTGATTGCATCTGCGTGTGTCCGTGCGACCATGTTTTTGTCTTTTGTAAGCGCGTGCGTGCGCGGACCCCTCAAGGAAACACAAATAAAACCGACTTCCCGGAGCTTTTACGCGAGTACTGGTGCGACCTTAACTGGACTATACAATGTTGGTTTTCTCGCTCTCGCTTAATATAATGCTTACAGATACTCTATGATGCTGGTAATATGCGGCATACGCTCGTTTTTATCCGTCCCCACGAAAAAGCGTGCGCCGGATTTGATCTGTTTCGGCCGCTTCCGGATTTTTTCAAACGCTATTTAGCATCTAAGATCTCGGGAAGGCTTGACGCTATTCTAGAAAAATTACGGAAGATTACGGGCTTTATCCATATGCCGGAGAATTATGATAATTTTAAAAATGTGAGGAAGCAGCCGATTGGCATCACGGTTTGTCGCCTGTTATGAATGGGCCCCGGACCATGGTCACAATGTCTACATCTGGCCGTTTGTTTTCGTCGAGCGCCTTCCGCGGGTTCAAGGTCATCTGACTCAGCGAGCCTGGCGCAAGCATCGCTTCGGAAGCACGCCTGCCCCGCGGACGCACCAGACGGGCGCCGTGATATAGCCAGACTTTACCGTGTACAGGTCTGGATATAGCCTCCGAAGAGGGAAAACAACGTCTCAGGTTTCACCCCAGGGCACGATCCGGGGCGATGAAATCATCAGGACGCCTTCATTCAACGCGTAGACACGAAAAGTCGAATGTCGGCACGTCACGTCTCGGCCCCGGACGGTGTTTTGACCAGCTGCGTGAATTCCAACGAGCCGGTGTTTTGGTGAGACTCTCGGCGCCGTCTAGACCGACGGTGAAGTGTTTACGGCGGCTCAGTGTGCGTAATAATGGAATGTGGGGCGGTGTTTGAACTAGACACCTTTCTGTGATTGGCCGACTATCCGCCGATGTAGGGGTCCCTACCTAGGGACCTGGGGAGAACCAAGTGCTTAAAATGAGCGAACTTTGACAAGCAAATATCTTCTCTGGTCTTGAACCAACTGTACATCATGTAAATAAACAGTGTACATTTCGAGAGAGATCGCGGCTCATCGTTGTTCCCGCTGAGCTCCAGCCCAGTGCCTGGCTCGAGTCGCCCCTCCACCACCACGGACCCCGCTCGGTCAAAACACGCCCACGTTTCCTAACAAGCGCGCGGACATGTCCGTTG